GATTACCTCGGAAACAGCGTCAGCATGAGTGTTTCAGTAAAGCCGATCGACAGCTGGTCAAGAGGAATCTGTCGTCGTCTTTTGGTGGATTCGACCTTCGAATCTCTTTACCAAACACTTTTACTCGAAATGGAAGTAACATTAACAATTATGAAACAAGAGATTCCTCGAAATCCAACTTTTCTTCGCATATAATTTTGCATTATTTCGCAATTTCATCTCGATTTCTGTCCATCAGAAATCTTCTTTTCTGGCACAACCGCTCTGTCCGACTGTCTGGCACAGCCCATCGCGACTCGACGGCTTCCAAATGGGCTTGACCAACTCGGAGTCTGGTCGCAGGGCCTTGCAGCCAACTCCACACCCTTCACGTTGAACGGTCATCATGCCAACGGTACCACCACAACGACCACTCTTCTGCCCGACCCGATGCTGCCCATCGCCACGCCTGGCCAAGCGATTCCTCAAGAGGCGTCCAGCATCTCAGGACACCTTCGCTCAAGCGGAGCCAGTCCTGGTCGACTTGACGATCCGATCGGAACTGCCATCCTCGGGGCGTGCCCCAGCAACCGGCCAGATCATTTTGCCAATCCTCACAGCCACTTGGGCGTCGGATGGGCCGGCGGTCTCATTTGGCTCCGGGACAACCCTCGGCCGGTCTGGCCGCAATCTGCCGCATCAGCCCCGGCGACCGGCCAGCCTATCTTCTGCCACCTGCACAAAGCGGTCCCTCTTTCCTCTGGCACCGGATGCCAACCGTGCACGTTGGTCTCGTCTGCTGGGCCCTTTGTTGAGACTGTCGCCTCATGTACAGCGTCGTCGGCCCTCGTCTCCCGGCCTGCTACAACATCCGCCGTCTCCGGTACCGCTCCGTTGGCAGGACTGTCAACTCGACTCGCTGCCGTCTCCACCGACGCCAGCAGCGCAGACCCAGCTCCAGCTGCTTCTTCGGCTCTGTCCTCGGTTTCCGCTTTGAGCCTTGCCATGGCTCCGCATGCCCACAGCCTCAGAGCCAGACCCTCGAGGCCTGGCTCTTCGGGCCACATGGCTCCAGGACAGTCGAGGCACACGGTCGCCGAGACGAGGCCATTGTCGTTTGTCTACCTCTGCGAGTCAGACAAAATGAGGCTGACCTCCTCTTCGTTGCATGAATCCAGCTCCTTTTGGGCCAATTCCGATGCCATGCAGAGCAGAGAGGCCATGGATACACTCAAAATGGACAAGCGACGTCAAGAGTGAGGACATTTTTAGTTTTAAAAAATTCCTCTTGATGGTTTGACCTGACAAAAGATATCCATTTCCTATCTCATAGTGAGATTAATATATAAGCCTTAGTCGCTCCGGGTTGTATATGGTGACGAAGGACACTTGTTTCGAGAACACCAGTAGGTCATATCTGTATTAGACGTAATCACCCTATTTCATTGTAAGATGCTGAAGAATTGATAGTTGGATTTTCCCACTATCATATCAGTGTGCCTGACGTAGGCATTGCATTTCAAAAAGCATTGTTTC